TAAATAAAGGCATATTGTAGATCTATTATATTTAAAGTGTTCCAACCCATAGGAACCAGCAGTTAGCGTAATGGCTATGTCGCTGGACTCCCACATAGTCGACCGCGGTTCGCGTCCCAGACCCGGTGGCTTAAAACTCACGCCGGACGCGTGTGCGTGCGTGCCCAAGATCCCGAGAGGAGAAGGGATTGCGGTGTGACTATCCCCTCTGGGGGGTGATTTCTCGCTTTCTATCTCTATGTCTCTCTCTGTCTGTCTGGCGAGCGCACACGCCCTATAGCGAAAAGAAAAAAAAAAAAAGTGTTCCAACCCATGTCTTCACAAGCAGAGTGATCTTTACAAATTTTAGTTTTTATTGAAGTTATATAAAATCATACATGGTTTGCATGTTAGCCGACCCAAAATTTAACCAGTTAACAAACTACACAATCAAATGTTTTATCTGCAGAGCCTATTTAAACACAGAGAGTCATGCATAGTTGGTAGACAAAATACCAACCTAAACTCAGATCATACTACTTACCAAGAGACCTGATGTGTGTCTACGTGAATAACTCCAGACCTGTTTCACTCCAGATTATGCAAACATATCACAAGACTAGGTTGATTTGCTAGCAGTATGTTTAAACACCTGGGAGCTGAGTTTGTTAGAACTGTGTAGCTAGAGTAGACGTCCACGACCAGGAGGAAAGACAACGGGACTTCTGCCGCTGACTAGCTGCGACCCCTCTGAACCTTAGCACGTGTAAATTTCAAGGGGCTGGAGTTGGTGAACACAGGGGTCCCTCCCCAATGCAAGGGTTTATAAACAATCAGCAAGGGCCAGAGAAGGTGGACGTGATAACTTCGTAAGAGAAAAATCACATACTCACAAAGGGACGAAGGAAAATATATGTAACTGCAAGGCAGAGCACCAGCTACACCAGGAGAAAACGGAGCCCAAGCAGCTCTGTGAAAACTGGAAATAGACATCTAGTAGCTTGTTAAACAATAATTACGAGCGTTTTATTGACAGTGCATACAAGTTTTCATGCATTGCAACAAAGTATACTAGAGAATATTTTTCTAAGTTAAAAGCATTAAAAGAAATGTTTACAAAAACGTACTCTTTATTTATCAATCTCCAGACATCATTCATTTGTAGTAAAATGTCCAAAAGAGCGCAAACGTAAGTTCGAATTTTCCAACTCAGATATGTGCGTCCCTAAATATCAATGAATGCCACGACACTCAGCAGTGTGTTCTCAAATATCACCTGATAAAACGCCTTGTCTGCTTTCCGTTGGAATAGACTGATGCTCACACCAAACACTTAGTCCCTCCCACAATCAAGGGACTAAGTTACTCCGTAGTAACAAGGGGCTCCAAGGAGAAATGAAGGTGGTGGAAACAGACATGCGCACGGGTGCTAAGGGCCAGAGATCCGACATCATCGTGTTCCAGTGAACACACCAGAAAGGATTTGCTCTATCTGCTGTAAACGGTGAGGTCCTTTTCTGTTCTAACATTCTATTTAATCCAGCAGCATTTACTGAACACTTAAAACTGTGAGCAAGTGTCAAAATCAAATCTAACGACCTTGTTTTGACCCTGGATTTCTGGGATAAGAGCTCAAGGCAGAAAGCACTGATGGAGGAACCAATTCCAAATGCAGCCCTGCACGGACGCCACGTTCCGCCTGGCTCACTCAGTGAGCACCCCTGGGTACTACCATTGTCACCCGTGATTGAACCAGCTCAGCCTGAAGCAGAGTGTGTTGACATCACGCGGTCTTTTTGTCAAAACCCCTGGGCTCTTCTTTTATACTGTCTTTATCCGCCTAAGTGTTTTCATGCTTCTCGGATGTTCTATCACCCCCCATTCCCCATCCCCCCGTTTCTTAATGTTCACGGGGATGTGAACTCAGGCATTTGCTCAGTGGCAGTCCTGGTTGTCCTTCAAGCTAGCACAGCAGTGTGGTACAAAACTTTGCCAGGATTCCACCTCCTTTCCAGATTCACCATTTATCCAGTGACGGCTGACTTCTAACATCCAACTCCTCTGTGCCCCCAAATCCTTGAGGCCGAGTACAAGGGCTTTATTTATTTACTTGTTTTTAATTTGCTATAGGACATGTGCACTTGCCAGACAGAGGTGGGGGGGATGGTGGGAAAGCACCCCCCAGGCGGGATGGACATGCAGCAATCCTTTCTCCTCCATTCTCCTCTCGGGATTTTGGGCGCACATATTCACGTGCCCGGTGTATTTTTCAAGCTTCCGGGTCTGGGACTTGAACCACTCACTGGGCCCTCTGGGAGCTATCTCGGGTCCAGCCATCTAAATCACCACACCACCTGGCTGGCCCAATGCCTGCGTGCTCACAAAGTCCCTTAGAGCCTGGATGCCGCCCGTCTCCCTATCTTCACTTGCCTCCTCTCTGCTCCCTAAGCACTAGCCACACAAAATTCTTTCAGTTCCATTAGTGGTCCAGCTTCTGCCTTGCTCCCTGGCTCTCACACATCCTATTCCTTCTGCCAGGAACACGTGTTCCCTCCCTGAAAATTCACAGGCCAATAAATGACGGTCCTGAGCTGGAAGACCAGCCTCAGGTAATACCGATCACTATTCCATCGTGCATGTGTTCAGGGCTCCGCATGGATTTTAACCATGTTCCCATAACCACGACGACGGCATTTTGCAAACTACTATTCTGAAGAACAGAAAGCATTTGGAACGGAACTGTCGCAGAACATCCTAGCTTTATGGAAACCCCATTTTGCGGCAGTGGACATTCGGCACCCTGGCCCTCCTTGATCAGGAGCAGAGGACTGCAGTGTGAGTCCAGGGGGACAAGGAACTTCTCTGGGCACATGTCACACGTGGGCGGAATGATTAGCCAGGGTGTGGACATTCTATTAGGGGTTCATCTTGCAGAGATTTCTTATGCCTACTCAGTGAAGAGCCAAACAAAACCAAAACCAAAGCCAAACAAAACCACACACACACACACACACACACACACACACACACACATGCGCGCACAATGTGTGCTTTATGCTTTTCAGGGCTGTAGATGGTCTCTGTGGCCCCTAAAGGCTGCTCCCTCCCATGAAGAGGGGAGAACCAGAGAGCTCTGCACTTGACCTATAGACCCAATCCTATTGTCCAAGAACAGGATGCAATCAGGCCCTTTGTCAGGGTTAAACAGGAAACGCCCACTCCACAAGGACGAACTGCCTCAGTTCCAGATGAGAATGAATGACTATGGATGCCTAGACCAGTTCAGACAACACCCCTGGGACACGTAGGCCGGGGCACAGTGGCCTTTGAGCAGTAGGGGACGTCTCCTGGGAACTCCCAACACGGGCCCAGCATCAGCTGCTAGGAGGTCCAGGACCCAGTTCTCAGGAGAGACGCACACTGGGCAGAGCCACAGCACACGGCAACAGCTATTTCTGGTAAGTACAGGAAAAAACAGCTAACCGGCAGCTTGTGAAAACCTCCTACGGAGTCACTCAAGATCAGACAACAAGTAACAGCAGAGACTGGAACAGAAGTGCCCAGTGCAGACGGGTGGTGCGTGGCACTGTCAAAACCAGACAAAGAGGCACGCGGGGAAGCCCACCAGCCCGTCAGCCATGACCGTCAAGGGCTGTTCCCCACTGTGTTCTCATGGCCTCCGGGTCTGCCTGGAGCCAGTGGGAGTTACGCCAGACTAAGGCTGGGCAAAGCCACGGTGAGGAAAGAACAGCTTCTGAACGGAGGAACCGTGGTGCAACGGGGTCATATCGAGAGGCGTCATTATTGTAGGGCCTTTGATAACACAGTAGAGAGCAGAGCCGGGTTTTGGGTGGACTGGAATCTTCCATAAATGGAGTCGAAATGCAGGCTACACAACATCCACAGACTCCCCAGAGAAACTCCTATTATGTACATGGAAGGGGAATGCAGCGAGTCCACTGGCTGGGCAGGAACACTCTGCTCAGGGGAGCGAGTCTGTTCCCGAGTTTGGTGCCAGCTGCAAGTTCGTACTAGACCAAAGTCCCAAATGCAGAGGTGCAAGGGTGCTGAACGAGGAGGAGGTGTTGGGCAATCCTTCGTCTCTAAAACATCCAAACCACGAGGCACGATATTAATAAGGGTATCATTTCTACAAAGTCCCCAGCTAAGGATGAGCCAATATTGTGACGAATGTTACTCAGAGTAGACCCAGTAAATCAGGGTGATGCAGGGGAAGCCCAGCACTCTGGGTTTTCAGTAAGTCTTCCTAGTGATTTTAAGGGACCCTAATGTTTTGAAAACCACTGACTGGGAAGCAAACATTAGCTTACAACGAACTGTGCCAATGACCTTAAGTGAGCCAACTGTTATTCTGAAACAAAGAATTGTCATAATGACCAGGATTCTGCCAGAAAGAATACATACCTGCTGGTATGTATGTATGTATTTAAAGAGGTTTTTGCCTAGAGTGCATGCGCTCACAAGAGAGAGAGACAGACACAGTGAAAGAGAAAGTGAGAAATCACCCCTCAAAGGGATGGCACACCACAATCCCTCCTCCTCCATTCTCCTCTCGGGATCTTGGCCACGCACACACACATGCCTGGCGTGATTTTCAAGCCACCGGGTCTGGGACTCAAACCCTGATCAGCTACGGGAGAGTCCAGCCCAACTGCTACATCATCTACTTGTCCCCCTGCTGGTATTTATTAATAGATAAAAACATCAGGGCAAAGGAGGAGGAGGAATGAGACGTGCGATGAGCTGCACGAGCTGAGAGTCTGCAGTGTCCACACCTGCCCTCAGGTGACTGCTGTCCGTTTTGGTTCACTGCAACCGCCTGGACCCGAGAGGACAACCACCACGGGCCATGCTCCTGGGTGCAACCCCCTACTATGGTGGGTCCCTCTCTCCGACCCTCAGGGCACATCGCCTGTGGCTCCTTCTAAGAACCCTCATGACAGACGACTGACCAGGACAAGTCAGGAAGAGCTGGGGCTGGGAAGGCAGGGGGTTCATACCGTGGTTCAGGTGCCTGATGCAGTCATTCAGCAGGGCCCCGAACTTCCTCTGCTCGGCCTCCTCGGAGAAGCAGTAGTAGCCGTGTCGGAGGAATGGCTGCCACAGGTATACCGGGAATTCCTTTGGCAGGACCACAAAGGGCTGAGCGTTCTCCTTCTCGTTGGAGGCTACAGAACAACAAAAATACAAATATATCGAAAAACAAACATCTATCACAGGGTCGGCAGTGGTGCAGGCAACGCTCTGAAATGCTGGACACGTGTGAGAGACCCTGGAGCCCGCTGAGGGTGTCTCTCTCTCTCTCTCTCTCTCTCTCAGAAGAAATATAATCATTTTTCTTTATGTTTTTGCTCTAGGGCACGTGTGCTCACCAGAGAGACAGAGAGAGGAAAAGTGAGAAATGACCCCCCTGGAGGATGGCCACGCTGCAACCTTTTCTCCTCCGTTCTCCTCTCAGGATTTTGGGCACACGCACACACACATGCCTGGCATGATTTCCAAGGTGCCAGGTTCTGGACTCAAACCGTGGATGGCCATGTGGGAATCTAGCACCTTAACCACCATACCACCTGCTGGCTCAATGAAAGAAACTTTTAAAAATACATGTTATATTTCTATTGATGATATTTATTTCAGGCTTTGAGGGTATCTGTCTAGGGCAGGCCATGCAGCAGGAAGGTGGTGTGAGATATTTTCATACTGGGGAAACGGGAGTTCTAGTGCCTCTCAAATCCCTCCACCAGCCTCCCCATCCCACCCCAGCAGGCTAGCTCCTACTCCGGGGGCACAGCCAAGGTCATCAGTCTTTCTTTCTCAAGGTCTTGACGGCAGGAAAACCAGCAAACAGAGCATCTCACCCTCCCCCCCTCCACACCACCCCCCCAGCTTCCCTACTACCCCTTTGCAGCCCAGCTGTCTGCCTGTCAGACTCTCACTCCACACCCCTGCAGAATCCAGTTCCCCAGGTCTGCTGCACACTCCCTCCCTCCTCCCCACTACGCTATCTTCGTTTGCTCAACCTCTGTTCTCACCGTAGCCTAGTTCCAGGCCCATCTGCTCCAGAAACCAAATAGCTGAGGTCACTAATGCCTGATCCTGGCCACAGTGCTCTGGGCTGGCTGAGGCTGGCAGCGGGTCATGGCATGAGAACCCTGCTGGGGTGCCTGCCTCTCTTGCTCTCTGTCTCTCCCAGAATAAATAATTCAATAAGCTTTTTAAAAAGCTAAATAAGGGGCCAGCAGGGGACATAGTGGTTAAGGTGTTGGATTCCCACATGGCCGACAGTGGGTCAAGTCCTGAACCCAGCAGCTTGAAAATCACAACAAATAAATAGATAAGTAAATAAATAAATGTATTTTTTAAAAAGCCAAGTAAGTGAATCACTTTTGCGAAACATGGGGCATTTTTGATACTTGTTTTAGAACCTTCCTGTAAAGAACACATATTTATTCATAAACCTCCCTGTTTTTTCTCAAGCAAGGGGAATTCCTCCCGTCTTTATGGTGTCTTTATTCTTTCCAGTCACACAGCGGGTCTTCCTGATGAACCTGGTTTTGTAAAACCGTTTCCCCTCCCCTTCCTAAGAATGTCACAATTTTGTATGAACAACCGAAACCAACATTGACCCTCTGTATTTAAAGGCTTTCAGCAAGCCTCATAATGTGCACTCCAATTAGCCTCGCGTTCTCTCGCACTTAACCTTTTCCCGCGATTTTCCAGATGCCAACCATCTGCATTTTTTCTGAGTTACGAGGCTACTACAAAGGATCTACTGAACAATATTCTCTTTTTAAAACTCAGAAGGCGACAACATACAACCAAAGAAAAGTCATTGAAGGGCCCTAAGCTGAAGTCCTGGGCCAACTGGCTTTAGTCACACAGGCCTTGTGTGTTTTATTCCTTTTCATTCCTTCCAATATGATTCCATCGATAACTCAGTAACTATATTGTCTGCTCTGAGTGATACCACTGGAACGTTCTGGCAGGATTCTGAAGAGTCACTATGCTGGTATTCCCATTTTCAGCTGCAGCTCGTCCGCTAATGTGACACGTAAGTAGGTGTTGAAAGAAAATATAATAACGTGTACAGTGCATGTGAAGTGTTCTTTTAGCCTGAATTACTTGGTAATAGTTTGTTAATCTGGGTTTATAGTCCATGTACTAATCCTATAATCATGTTATTAAAAACAATATGCTAAGCAGTCTGTACCAAACAACAATTGATGAAATGGTTATGTTTCTCTCCATAAATTCTAATGAAACGATTATGCCTGTTAATAAGAACCAGGGCTCTCTTCAAGAAACCAGGTAATTATGTACTATGATTTACGTGAAGCCAGATGAAGTTATAACACTACCCATTGTTTATGAATCTCTCTGAATTGCCCTACATGTTCTACACAGGATTCATCACTTTCTCCTCATGGAAAAAGGAGAATAAATGAGAAACAAAAGCTGCAAAGATTCTTCTAGATTTTCGAGTTCAAAGCTGGAAAACAGAAACCACAGAAGTTCTGCAGCATGTGGCTGGAAACGTGATAAGCGGCACGGTGAGAGCTAGGTAAAAGCCACGCTCCCTGGGCTGGCCCCATAGCCCTGAGGTTAAGTGCCATGTGGAAGGAGACGGGCCCTGCTTGTCAATTTAGGATATTTTATTGCTTAACATCCTAAACTTAAAAAAAAATAATATCCCCTGCCAGTTCTAGACTTGCTTGCTGAAAGATGGCATTGCACATTTCCTGGACTGGGCCGTGTCTGTATAGGTCTTCAAAGCCTGTAATATATTTCAAAAGCGTCCAGATACTGGATCAATGGCATGTTTTCCGTAAGCTGGAAACACGGTGACTAACTTGAGTATTACTCAGTGGTACCTGAAGTAACAGAAATGGTACAATGTTTACCTCTGTTAGAGAAATTATAGCTTCCATTTATCTATGGAGCACGAGTGTCTGCTCCAGGGTCTGTCCACCTTGGCACTACTGAAACTGATGCCAGATAATTACCATGCCCCAGGGGCTGTCCTGGGTGCAGCAGGATGTTCAGAAGTGCCCTCGGCCTCCACCCACTAGCACCTTCTTCCAGTTATGACAACCAAAAATGTCTCCAGATATTGCCAAATGTCCCAGGAAGCTGCAATCCCGCTTCCCTACTGAGAACCACTAAGTTAGCTAAATTACGTTTCAGAATTTAGCTGCAGAAGAGAACACTCAGCAACTCACCCACAGGGTCTGGGAAGTGCCTGTCGGATAGCAGGTTGTATTCATCTTCTGAGGTGAGCACCTTGCCACCAGCTGGGAGAATCCGGCTTTTAGGAGCAGCTCCTTTCTGATAGGCCTGTGAAGGACAGGTTTCTCCTTATTTGGATTTTTAGGAAATACCAGAAATATTGAAAATAGACAAACTGTCCCAGACACCTACACCAGAGTATCCCTCCACTATGTCATTGAATCGGCTATTCATTTTTTTAAAAAATACATCTTGCACACCTGTCAGCCCTTGGTTGATGGTCATGGCATGGTCAGAGGGAGTCACGGAGGTATGTTCTAGGAAGGGGAAAACGGAATTCCTAGCTTCTGGACGGTTCATACTCGCATTTCTGAGGCTAACGCCTGAATCATTCTAACAGCCACAAGGGTGCCAATCCCACAAACACTGCCCGAAACCCCTGGTGACTGATGTGGGCCAAGGGTGATGACTAATGAGGGTTGCCATGGCTGGTCATGAAAAACATTAAATATTTCATGGTGAAATATGCTGCCACTTTGCCCTCAGATGTGAGACTATTTTGCAGTAAAATGCTTGAGATGGAAGCTGGGATGATGACATCAGAACAAATTCTGGCCGGCAGACAAGAAGCTCAGCTGATCAGGAAATGGGAAAGAGGCACAGAGCATGGCTCAAGCAGTGGGTTAAGCAGGCAGGCCCAGGAGGCCACAGAGACACGGCGAAAGTGAAGGACGTGCATCTATCTGATGGCAGGGCCGAGGTCAAGGCGAAATTTTGAAAATAGCAAGCCAAAAGCCAGTTGAGAATTGAAACCAAGAAATGGTGAGACCCCAGATGTTGAGTGTGCTCTTGGGAATAACTAAAACAATGTTGATCTGGGCAACAAAATCAAAATAACATGAACACATTCTGCATCAACAAGACAGGGACTGAAGAGCCCCAAACCAAACAAACTGCCAGGCATCTAAGAAGTCTGTTCTCATGCTTGTAAGAACCCCTGATCAACTGCTTAGCACGTCAGAGACCCAGAACATGACAGAAAAGAATCTAAACTTGTATGAATTTGAGAAAGTTTAGAGGCAGTGTGACTCGGGAGGGTTTAAACATGAATCGTGTTATCGGTTAGAACAGGCCCCAATATTGGCTTTGACAAACATTTTATCGTGTAGGCCTCAAAACAGTATGATCCTCATTTTTAAAAAGAATTATTTATTTAATTTTATTTATCATTATTATTATTCATTTTAAATGTGCTATAGGGCAAATGTGCTCTCCAGAGAGAGAGCGAGAGAAAGGGACAGTGAGAAAGCAAGTCTCAAGGTCTGAGACTCAAGCTGCAGTTGGCCACGTGGGGGTCCAGTGCCTTAACCACCATGCCACCTGCTGGTCCCATGATCCTCATTTTTTAAATGAACAAAATAAAGCTCGAAGAGGTCAAAGAACTTGGGGACCAGTAAATGGCATAGCAGTTACATCACTGGACTCCCACATGGTCGACTGCAGTTTGAGTCTTAGATCCGGTGGTTTCAAAACCACATCAGGCATGTGTGTGTGTATGCCCAAGATCCCGGGAGGAGAATGGAAGAGAAGGGATTGCAATGTGGTCATCCCCACTCCAGGGAGTGATTTCTCACTGTCCCTCTCACTGTCTCTGTCTCTTTATCTCTTTTCAGTGAGTAGATGTGCCCTAAGGTAAAAACCTCTTTAAAAAAAAAAAAAAAAGAGGTCAAAGAACTTAACCAAGGTCCAATAGTGAGTAGACGACAAGTCCAGGATTCAGTCTTGTCTGTCCAGCCTCAGGGCCCAGTCACAGTGGCGCGAGTGGTAGAGTGTCATTGCACAATGCTGAGGCCACATGGGAGGCCCTGGTTCACATCCCAGACCAACCTGAACACATGGCTGTGTGTGCCTATAATGCTGGTTAATTGGGAGGCTGGGGCAATAAGACTGCATTAATGAGACTCTCCCAGTCTATCTCTGTCCCTCTCTCTCCCTCCTCCTTTTTGCTCTCTCTCCTTCTCTTTCTCTCATAAAATAATTCTATAAATTTAAAACAAGATATTGCTAAAAATTTTGAGAAATTATAGAAAACTACAGGATTGTTTTTAATATCTAAGATTTTTTTTTTCAGAAAGAGATTTTTTGCTATAGGGCAAATGCACTCTCCAGAGAGACAGAGACAGAAAGTGAGAAATCACCCCCCCTCGCCCCCCCAGGGAGGATAGCCATGCTGCAATCCCTTCAACTCCATTCACTTCTTGGGATTTTAGGAACGCATGCACACACCTGGCATGAGTTTCAGACACTAGGTCTGGGACTTGAACCACAGTTGACTACGTAGGAGTCCAGCAATGTAACCATTACACTATCTGCTGGTCCCAATATCCAAGTATTTTTTTTAAGAATTATTTATTTACTTTTATTTATTATTATTTTTAAAAATTTGCTATAGGGCATGTGTGCTCACGAAAGAGAAATGAGAGAGAGGGAAAATAAGAAAGCAAGCCACCAGGTCTGGGACTCAAACTATGGTCAGCCGTGGAGGAGTCCAGCACCTTAACCACCATGCCACCTGCTGACCCCAATATTCAAGTCTTTTTTAATACTTGGTTATTACCAAACTCATCGCCATATGTCAACAACCTAAATAGATCCAATTGAAAATGATGAGGGGGAAAAAAAGGCAAGAAAAGCAGTAAAATGAATATAAATTGCAGGTTGAAGGAGCATACTTAAAAAATGAAAGAGGACCAGTGGATAGTGTAATGGTTATGTCGTTGGACTCTCATGCAGTTGACCACAGTTCAAGTCCTGGATCTGATGGCTTCAATCTCACACCGGGTGCATGTGCATGCTGCCCAAAATATCAAGAGGAGAATGGAGAAGGGACTGCAGCGTGGCCCTCCCCTCAGAGGGTGACTTCTCACTTTCTGTCTCTCTGTCTGGTGAGTACATGAGCCCTAGAGCAAAATCTCACTTTAAAAAAAAAATGAAAAGAGAAAAAAACACCAAAATTCAGTTCAAAGTGAAATTTCAGTTAGTGTCACAAGCAGTAAAAATCTCAATAAACCCAATAACAAATTCTACTAGTCTCTCCTCCCAGTGAAGCAGGAGTGGTGACACTGACAACCTCTCTGCACTGGGCTCCACCATAGGCCTGGTCATGTGCTCGGTACATTCATCCATTTTCAGTTTGGCTCTAGGGCATGTGCACTCGCCAGAGAGAGAGACAGAAGGAAAGTGAAGAATTACTCCCCTGGGAGGATGACCATACTATAATCCTTCTCCTCCATGTCCTCCTAAGATTTGGAGCACACGAGCACATGCAACTAGCATAGTTTTCAAGCCACTGGGCCTTAGACTTGAACCATGAGGTTGACCATGTGGGATTCAGCTGCCTTAACCACCATGCTACCAAACTGGCCCTATATTCATTTATTTCATCCTCATGACAACACCATGGCAAAGGAGATTTGCTCACTACTTTATAGATGAGAAAACTAAGAGCAAAGGAGATTTACAGCTTGGGCAAGGACACATATCTAGTGACTGGAAAGGTGTGATTCAAAGCCCATGATATTACCCATTAGGTTACAGACTCTACATGCTTCAATGAAATGACCCTCTCCTAAGTCATATAAAAATATAAGGTGATTTGTTATTATTATTTGTAATGTATTGGTAATTTGTTCTCAGTGCAAATTTAGCATTGAAAGACATCCTTCCATCAATAAGCAGAGACAACATTAACTTAATGATCATCAAAGAGAATGAGTCTGCCCGAGAGACCGCCTGGCCCTGGCTGGGAGCTTGTGGGTAAGTCCATACTGTGTGCTATTCCTGTTTTCCATCACGCCTGGGGAGGACTCATGCTGGTCTGTCTGCCTGAAGCCTCTTCCTAATAGTCCAGCGTTGGGCATGTTGCTCTGGATACTCTGTCCAGCTTGTCCTGACTATTCTTGGATTCGTCAAGAGAGCAGAGGTTTTGGCCCAGCCATCATGGCTGTGCTGGACACTGTTCTTGGCAGGCCAAGCCCACATGGGAAGCCTGGGTTCAATCCCAGCCCACCCTATGGGACGAACAGTTAGCGTAATGGCTATGTCGCTGGACTCCCATGTAGTCGACCGCGGTTCGAGTCCCGGATCCGGTGGCTTAAAACTCATGCCAGGCGTGTGTGCGTGCATGCCCAAGATCCTGAGAGGAGAAGGGATTGCGGCATGGCCATCCCCCCTGGGGGGTAATTTCTCGCTTTCTGTCTCTCTGTCTCTCTCTGTCTGTCTGGCGAGTGCACACACCCTATAGCAAAAACCTCTCAAAATAATAATAATAATAATAATAATCCCAGCCCACCCCAAAAGAATACAGATCATGGTTCCATTTGTGATCCCAGCTACTTGGGAGACTACAGCAGGAAGATGGTGACACAGCAAGACCTTGTCTAGAAACAAAAATCAGAAACCACATAATACACACACACACACACGACAGCAGTTTTAAATCTGTCATTCTCTGAAAGTGGCAAACGGGAACAGCTCATTTCAGAGGGAGTTTGAGGATCTTTGGAGATCCGGTAGTGCAAGTGAATTGTAGTGCTGGAAGCCACATGGCCGAGGCAGGTTGGGATCTCCAGGCTGGCTGAAAACACGCCAGGCATGTACACACATGCTTAAGATCCTGACCTGCTGGAGGGCCGTGGGAAAGGGATCATGTTATAACACCCTGTGTGTGCGTGTGTGTGTGGGGGGGGCTTCTCTGTTTCTCTCTATATATTTCTCTCGCTCTTTCTCTCACAGAAAAAAATTAATTCATAACCAAACTTAAAGACTATTTCAGGAACCAGTGGTACAAGGATATGTCTTACCTCTTTGTTCTCATAGCTCTCCACAGCAAAATCGTTTTTAACCACAATGTATCTGTCCCTCCATTTCTTTATGTCTTCAGCAAACTGTGACAGCTCCGCTTCGTACAAGACAGTTCCGGGCTCCAAGGGTGGCTGAAAGAGGACAAATGCAATGGACTATCATGAAAAAGCCCAACACAGCTTGTCACCACGGTGTCTATGCGTGGCATTCCGAGGGATATTTTAGGGAACTCTCTTGTGCTGAGACCTTGAGAAGCTCGTTCCTCCCCGCCCTCCACAACTTCTCTTTACCTATTCCTGACCAGGTGCAAATATCTGTCTTATTGCTGCTTTTATGATTTTCATTTCCCCCCGATGCTAGAGGAACAGAAGCATATGGCAGAAGGGCTTATAGTAATAAGGGCGTGACTGGCATACATGCGGCACTTCAGAAATGCTTGCTACCAGACCAGCAGGTGGTGTAATGGTTAAGTCATTGGACTTCCACGTGGTTGACTGCAGTTCGAGTCCCAGACCCAGTGACTTGAAACTCATGCCAGGAGTGTGGTGGGCATGCCCAAAATCCTGAGCGGAGACTGGAGGAGAAGGGATTGTGGCGTGGCCATTACCCCTAGTGGGGGTGATTTCTCACTTTCTGTCTCTCTATCTCTCTGGCAAGCGCATGCATCCTATAGCAAAGATCTCGCCTAAATAAATAAATAAATAAATGTTTGATAAACTCTGTGGGATACAGGCAATGAGGCAGGAAAATACGCGGTGGACGTCCACCACAACACCCCAAACACGCCTCCAGGTTAATTCCTGAAAAGCAGGAGAATTAGGCAGTTTTCCTGCTCCTCACACTTTCGGGCACAGCCTCAGGAGCCAGTGCTCGGGGCCAGGCAGTAGTACAGAGGTAAAACAACAGCATCCACACAGGAAATGTCCCGGGTTCACGTCCCAGACCTCCCCCAGTTTGAGAATGGAGCCAGTGTGCAGCCCCTTGTTGAGAATAACTGTTTCTCTCTCTTGTGAAAGACATAAATGAAGGAACTTTTTAAAAAGTTAAAGATAAAGAACCAGTGCTCAATGAGCTTCCTAGACCCAAAAGCCATGAGAACCCAGGCTGTAAACTCTTAACCCAGCTTTGCAGCCTCCTCAAGGAGAGTGTGTTTGCTATTGGTTAAAGCACGAGAAGCCTCCAGCCAGCAGACAGCAGCCCTGCCTCCTCTAATTAGAAGCTGGGGGTGTCTCACAAACCTTGGTATGTGTGCTGTGGGGGAGTTTCCAGTAGGTTCCTAGGTAGGTCTTCCCCAGGCTCACCATATAAGGAAAATTGCCATCCCGCCTCATGGCGCAATTTCCATAGTACTGGAAAATATACAACTGGGCCTCCTGTCTTTATGTGTCCCTGAATTTATATTTGTGTCCTCTTTATTCAAGATTTCTAGAGCTTTCAGAAGCTTATCCCTCTGCGTTCAAACCAAAATTTACATAAACCATTCAGAGAAGACAGACTTGCCAAACCCCTTTGAGAATCATCTAAAGAATAAAAAATTTAGGGAACCAGCAGTTAGCGTAATGGCTATGTCGCTGGACTCCCACGTAGTCGACCGCGGTTCGCGTCCCGGACCCGGTGGCTTAAAACTCACGCCGGGCGCGTGTGCGTGCGTGCCCATGATCCCGAGAGGAGAATGGAGGAGAAGGGATTGCGGCGTGACCATCCCCCCTGGGGGGTGATTTCTCGCTTTCTATCTCTATGTCTCTCTCTGTCTGTCTGGCGAGCGCACGCGCCCTATAGCGAAACACTGCCCAATACGCAAAAACTCCCCCAAAAAAAAAAAAAAAAAAAAAAAGAATAAAAAATTTAGGGACCAGCAGTTAGCATAATGGCTATGTCACTGGACTCCCAAGTAGTCAACCGTGGTTTTAGTCCCAGAGCCAGTGGCTTAAAGCTCACACCGGGCGTGTGTGCGTGCGTGCCCAAGATCCCAAGAGGAGAATGGAGGAGAAGGGATTGCGGCGTGGCCATCCTCCCTGGGGGGTGATTTCTCGCTTTCTATCTCTATGTCTCTCTCTGTCTGTCTGGCGAGCGCACGCGCCCTATAGCGAAAATCTCTCTCAAAAAAAAAAAAAAAAAAAAAAAGAATGTAAAATTTTAAAAATTAAAAAAAAAAATTCCCTTTCAAATTCCAGCACTTAATATTCTGGGCTGACAGAGAACAAGGCGGTCTCTATCTTACCTCAGTAAAAGGTAAGAGAGGACCTTACTCTTCCACTAAATTAGGCTGAAACCATGGTATGAGCTGAATTTTATAGGTTTTTAAAAATTATTATTTAATTTTGTGTATTCATTCATTTATTTTAATTTGATCAGAGAGAGAAAGAAAGAAAGTGAGAAAGCAAACCACCAGGTCCAGGACTCGAACCATGGTCAGCCACGTGGGAGTGTCCAGTGCCTTAACCACTATGCCACCTGCTGGTCCCCAAATTTTATAGTTCTTAAGTGCAGCTTTTCTTAAACCAGAGCCACTTACTTAATTGACAACTTGTTTTTAAAAAGCTTGTGAAAATTTAGTCTTTAGGGGCCAGCAGGTGGCATGGTGGTTAAGGCCCTGAACTCCCACATGGCTGACCACAGTTCAAGCCTCAGACCTAGAGGCTCAAAAATCGTGCCAGATATGTGCGCATGCATGCCCAAAATCCCTGGAGGAGAATGGAGGAGAAGGGATTGTGCCCATTCCCATAGGGGAGTGATTTCTCACTTTTCCTCTCTGTCTCTCTCTGGTCAGCACACGCACCCTGTAGCAAAAAACTTAAAATTTGGGAACCAGCAGTTAGCGTAATGGCTATGTCGCTGGACTCCCACGTAGTCAACTGCGGTTCGCGTCCCGGACCCGGTGGCTTAAAACTCATGCCGGGCGCGTGTGCATGCGTGCCCAAGAACCCGAGAGGAGAATGGAGGAGAAGGGATTGCGGCGTGACCATCCCCCCTGGGGGGTGATTTCTTGCTTTCTGTCTCTAATGTCTCTCTCTGTCTGTCTGGCGAGCGCACGCGCCCTATAGTGAAAATCTCTCTCAAAAAAAAAAAAAAAAAACTTAAAATTTTTTTTTGTTGTTTTAATTGTCCTCTAGACTAACTAAACCAGAATCTCTGAGAGGATGGGACAGAGTATGCATTTTTAACAATTTCCCTAAATGTTAAGAATCACTGTTGGGACCAGCAGTTAGCATAATGGCTATGTCGCTGAACTCCCATGTAGTTGACCACGGTTCGAGTCCCACACCCGATGGCTTAAACTCACGCTGAGCGTGTGTGCACACGTGCCCATGATCCCGAGAGGAGAATGGAGGAGAAGGGATTGCACTGTGGCCATCCCCCCGGGGATGGGGGGGATGATTTCTCGCTTTCTGTCTCTCTGTCTCTGTCTTTCTGGCGGGCACACACACCCTATAGCAAAAACCTCTCAAAAAAAAAAAAAAAAAAAAAAGAATCACTGTTTTATGGGGATTACAATCAGTGATCCCTACCAAGCCATGTGGGACCTACTGGTTAAGGTAACCTCCTCAGAAGCACCTCGCCCAGTTAGCACTAATTCTGTCTTGAAACGTCGTCTCCATTTGCCTGCGACACGTTACACTTCTCCGACTCCTCCTACCCTACCGGCTGCATCCTGTTACTTCGTTTGACTGGATCCTTCTCATTTTCCTGTTGTCCAAATGCCAGAGAGCAGGGCCAGGGCACCATTTCTGTATCCTGTCCACATCCCCTCCCTCGGTTACGTCCCACACTCCTCGCACCTGTTAGAAGCTAACAATTCCCAGATGTCCACTGTCCAGCCTCAACTTCTCTCCTGAGCTCCAGATCAGAGCTTCCAGCTGCCTCCTCAGTCTGGCCACAGGCCAATGTGCAGGAAGCACCTCAAGCTTAAGACAGCCAAAAGCAAATGCCCGGTTCCCAGCCACCCCTGCCTCTTCCTTCTGAGCGAAGGGCAATTCACCGCATATTTGCCGTCACCGATTTCCCTCTTCTGTGACCTCACACCCTGTCCATCAGCAGATACGGTCAGCTCTTACCATGAATACCTCTTCCCCTCACCACCCTAGTCCGACAGGCCATCATCCTTTGTTTGGCCGCTACAGAATCCCCCTTGCCAAACTCTGGCTTCTCCCCTTGCTCCCTCTCCATAGTCTGTTCTCTCCATAGTCTGTGCTCTACGGAAAGACCAGAGGACTGCTTAGAATTTATGTCACTCTGGGGATCAGCAGGTGGCGTAATGATTACGTTGCTGGACTCCCACATAGTTGATGGCAGTTCAAGTCCCGGACCCGGTGGCTTAAAATCGCACCAGGTGTGTGTGCATGTGTGCCCAAAATCCCAAGAGGAGAATGGAGGAGGAGGGACTGCCACATGGCCATCCCCCCAGTGGGTGATTTCTCTCTGTCGAGTACCCATGCTCTATAGCAAAAAAAAAAAAAAAAAAAAAAAAAAAAAAAAAAAAAAACCCTCTCTTTTTTTTTTAAAAAAA